GGCTAACAGTAATGATCTCATTATCAGCTTTAAATGGAACTCCAGTCCAATGGCAACGCAGAATATTGTTTCACAAATAAGACGATAAAATCAGTGAACATGAACCTGTGCTTTGCCCATGCCCTTAAATACTGAACTTCTAAGGTGCTTAAGGTGAGGGGGTTCAAAAAGATGAAGTATTGGCAGATGCAAGGAGTCGCAATAAAGTGAACCCGTGGCTTTTCCCCATTCGTGCAAAGCACAGGTTCACTTTATCGTCACAGAACCCTCCTGTTCTACACTGCATGTGACTGACCACACATCTTACATAAAGCACGCTGGCTACACACACACACAAAATGACTGTTTTCTTTATGCATTGGATTTATGTTAGAGGCAAATAGTGCCATGCAAGGATCTTTTGTAATTTAAACCCTAAATTGTTCTAATTAATTCCGATATGAAACTCAAATACATATTTGATATGTATATTGCTTTGATGTGATGAATGCTGGGTCACATTAAGCAAATCCTGTGTGCACTGCCTTCTATGAAACCCGGATATCGAAGGCAGACACGCCTTAATCTGCCACTTAAGATGTGTTGGTAATGGTGGCCATACACTTTACAACCATCGCAAGACCTTAGTCTTGCGATGGTTGTAAAGTAATTTAAAAAACGTACGATCTGCCCATCTTAGACAGGCAGATCATACTTGCGATCATCGCAAGCCCGCACCCCTGAGGGGCGGGCTTCCGATGACCGCAATGCTGAACTTGCAGTGTGTGCGTGCACACACCGGCCCGTGCAGCATTGATCTTACGATCATGCTAAAAACTAGCCGAAAATCGTACGATTCTCATCTGGTTTTCTAGCATGCTCCTAAGACAAAAGACGTGCGACCGTACAGTAAAAACGGTCGCACGCCTTCCATACACTTTACGATTATCGTACGATCGTCGGACAGTGTATGGGCACCTTGAGGGAGATTCCTGTACACACAAGGGCTCCAAGATCAAAATGTTCGGGAACATAGATTACAGCTGCTTTCCTCCTTCTTTAAAAGTGGAGAAGAGTTAGAACCACTCATGGTTTCTTGTTCTCCGAGTCTGCCCTACGAAGAGGTCTCCTCACCTTATGTCTGGATGGGAAGAGAAGGAAAGTAACCTCCCAAATAGCATTCTCCACTCCATCCAAAACCAAGGACTTTAATAGTTCAGTAAGATGCATGAAGATACGTAATGTCTTTTTTGGCAAACCATACGTCAACCAACCACATTGTGTTAAAATCAAAATTATGGTTAACAGGTTAACAAGTGTCTATCCAAACTCCCCCCTCCCCCTACCACCACCACTACTACCACAACCACCACAACCACCACAAAAAAAAAAAATATTTTTCTAATTGGCAGATTTTCTGTTTTAAATTCTGCAATAATTAAACAAAGTTAAACATAGGTTACAATCTTGTTCAAATAAATTTTTGGCTGGCTACACCACACCACTGTTGGACTTGTCAAGCAAGCAGGTCACAAAAAGAATGAACCAACCCCAGCAAGTAGGGGTATCAGGTACCCGACAAGGTTCATAGACATCAAGCTTACTTACAAACTCAACACAAGCTCAACTGACACTGTTAAACATGTTCTTCAAATTGGTAGCCATAGAGTGACATGCTCTAACCTTTGCATGAGTAAAAGATGGTTAACTAAAGCTAACCTATGGAGCTTGCAGCCTAGACAAATTCGTGCAATGCCAATTAGACTGTAATGGTGTGAAACATAAGTGATATATAAGAGATCAGATGTTATCTGTGATGGAGTCTTATCCAGGGCCTTTGTCATTGGGCTTTTGTTCTCTTCATTTCTATATGCAAGACCCACTTGATGCAGGTCAGAAGGAGGTCAGCTGCATGTCAAATTTACCGGTCAATGAATTGCAAATACAGAGAGAGAAGGGTCTCAAACTGTTGCCATCGGTTCAAGGCCAACATAGGCCCTTATGTTTCTCCAGCTCTGCCTGTACCCAAGTAAAGCAAACCACACACCAGGACAGGAAGCACCAAACATGGCCAGATATTAGGATGCAGTTGTTAACTGCTTAATGTGTGTGCATCGGAGACAACTTACTGGTCAATACACCAATGATGATGGAAACCAGACATGAGATACCTGTAATATTAACGAACTGCAACACATTTTAACTGAGGCCTAGTTCACACCTGGGCATTTTACAGCGCTGATCGACGCTCTGTAAAACCCTCTGCATGTGAAAACCAATAATTGCCTATGGGCATGGTTCCCATCTGGGCGTATTTCAGCGCGTAGGAACACGCTGAAAAACGCCCTACGCCCGAAGTAGTACAGGAGCTTCTTTGGGGCGTATTTTCCGCGCGTATCCATTAGGATACAGCTGGTTAGCCCTCGTAAACTCGCGTTTGTCGCGCATTTCTTTTACCACAAATCGCTGTAAAAATGTGCGGAACGGAACGCACGGCAAACGCGCATATTCCGTACGCCCAGGTGTGAACCCAGCCTTATTCTTGCACAAGCCATGCAGACATAAGACGCAGAGAAGTATTAGGTGGAAAGGAGATCTTGAAGCGGTGTTCTGTTGATACCTACCTAAAGCTAGTCAGAACGAATGAGCATTGTAGCACAAAATGAACTTCTATCAGTGCCTATTGTATATGACACCTAGACACACCCTTGTTCACACATCCTAGCCAAGTTAACAAGTGATGGCAGAGAGCACATTTTGTTGCTGTTATTAGAAATAGCTGCAACAATCTTCAGACAATTGTGTGCTGTTCAGACTCGTCCTGTACTGCAGACAAGAATCACCAGCGTGACGGTTGCCATGTTTGCCCAGCCCTAGAGGCACATTGACTGAAATACATTCACAAGCAAAAAGACTATGGAGAGTAATCCATGGCTAATGCAATAATTGCAAGGGGCAGATTATGTATCTCCCTTTTCTAATACATACAGTTTGGTTAACACAAATTGCCTAAGCTGCTGCCGTGGCATTGTCACAAATTCAGCTTCTGTTGGAGGGTCTAGGTAGTGCAGTACAGTCAACCACATTTAAAAAACAGCTTTGCATTAGGTATATGCAGTTGATGAGAACCCTAAAATTCAGAGAACAATTACCACTAGAAAACGGTTCCTAGAATATTTGGTGAAGCGCAGTCACTCTTGCTGGGAGTTTTAGTGTAATGTTAAAACAAGATTTAGGCGGTGGTAGATTCAACAATTTCCCCAAGATAAATGCTCTACAACATCAGAAAAAAGGCATACTGAAGGGCTATTTTGAGAAATTATGGCTCCATTATGTCAACACCTTCAAGCTTAATTCCGGGTCTCTAAAGTCGCTTTCGTGGTTTAGAGTGTAGCAACGGGATTCACATGATTTATTCCTTAATCATTCAGTGGGAGAGTTAGCCATTCTGTCTGGGAAAGGATATATCCCCCGATCCACAATTCCCAAGAAATAGTAGGCCATCAGTGGACAGCGTTGTTGTCGTGTGTTTTCCAGTCACGATGCAAGCCTATGACTTGAAGCTCCCGAACGGGAGGCTACAGACAGCTTTAAAGGGCCATGTCTTGCCAGTGTCTCGTCTTTTGACGGGCAAAAAGTACTACGGATTTCCCTCAGTTACCCTGCACCATGTTCCATCACTGGAGCGATATGACTTTCACCCAGTGAACCCGTCCCAACCCGTTAGTAACCCGTCCCAATCCATTTGGACGTGCTGCCGCAGTTTTGTTCTGGAAAGTATGTGCAGGCGGGAACTGCGTGTTCCCCTCTAGTGTGACGTGCGAGGGATGTAATGTTTGTAAACTAAAGTCATGTGACTTCGGGATCTGTGACTCCGCCAGAGACGAGGAGAGCGAGCTCTGCCTGCCAGGAGAGGGGTGGCGAGGAGAGGTTTCCTAGAAAGATGATGAGGCCCTGTGGTTTTCGCATACAGCGGAAAAGGTACGTGTACAGCTATTTATAACTCTGGCTCTTTTTCTGGTGCAACTTGTTGAAATGTTTTTTTTTAAACTCTTTAAAAACACAACAGCCGTGAGCGCGACATAGCAGTAATCGATTGTTAAGCAGGTCAATGTTAGCATTACAGGGCAGGTGTCGTATACAGACCATTTACGTATGCACATAGAACACTTTGGCACACGAATCCCCCATATGTTGTTGTTATGCAACTATATTGACATAACACAATGACAAACTTGCACTACGACAGGTGTATAGATTAGAGCAACGATCCATGTACATGTATATGCCGTAAAATTGTGCACCAGCCATTGACTTGGTAGGTCTATGGCTAGCCCGAGACTGAAGACTTATTAATTGGATACAAGAGCTAAACATGCGTTCACCGCACATGCACGGTTTTACATGCATTACACCAATGACCCTAAACCACCAGAATACAAAACAGATATTCTCCTCCCGCCCCCCCCAACCCCAACAATACGAGGATTCCAACATTCCTGTCCATGGTAAAGAATGATCATTCTAGCATTTTAATCTCCTTTAAATAAAAATGTGCTGTTCATTTTCACCACAAGTGCAACGCCTGTGTCAGAGACGGGCTTTAAACATTGTGCCATGGCGGAAGACGTGCAGCATTATCTGCCTCACACAGATAAAGCACGCTTCCTTTCCTTTAAAGAGACCTAAATATTCACGGACACAAACCCACAACAAACACTCGGTGGCTTTTTAAGAAATTACACAACTTACCATGGAACGCAAGGCATATCAAAATTACTTCTTGTTAAAGCACAGACACATCTGCCAACGCCTGGCAGCACGTGGGTTAACCTTCCGTAAGTCAGATTTTTTTTTAGAAATGATTTAAACTTTTCTACATTTGCCATTTCTCGACAACAAGATCCTTATACATTTTTTGCAAAGCCTATTTTTTTTTCCTTCCTGAGGGTTTGTTAAATTTAAATGCTATAAAAACACAACAGACTCTGTGCCGACTGGGGTTAATCATAAGTACCTACCTTCACGCTCTGCACTTGCTCGTTTGGCAGAATTTTGGAACCGGTCTTATTTACAACCTGCAATACAAAAGAAATAAATAAAAAGGAAAAAAAAAAAAAGAACCTGAAAATATAGATCAAAATTCAGGATTTTTTTCACGGTAGCGTGACAGCATAGAAACGAGCGAGGAGTGTTGTCGGTAAATACACACTGCTTCCAAAAGGAGGGGGGTGGAAGAAAAAAAAAAAGAATTCTTGGCCGAGTGCCGACTGAAAATCGTTTAAATGACATGTAAGGTTATACAGGCAAATATGAAAGATCGCACAATAACCTTTTGTTTAAAAGGATCTGGCTTCCAAATTCACAACACAGTTGATTACCAGCAGCCATTTTAGGTCTGCTCCTATAAAGACACTGGTGCATTGGCTTTTTTTTTTTTTTTAACTCCCTCCCTCTAGCTTTCTCTCTCTCCCTCTTCTGCCAGACGCTGGGATCATTATCATAAGACAGAGTTCTTAGTACCTCTCATACTCCCCAACACATGATATGTGACATGCCCCCTCCCCATTTTGCTTGCTGTAGTAGGGTGACCAAGGCACAGAGAGGGTGGGGAGGAGGATGGGTTGTTGGGGGCTGGGTGCTGTAATGCCGACAATTTTTTTTTCTTCAGTTCTTAACAGAGAGAACAGACCATGTGGTTTCTCTCCCAGCAATTGAAGGCAGCAGGAAACTGCGGACTGGAGTAGACTAAAACAGACTGGAGCCAGCACTTTTTTTTCCCAAAACCAATAAACACTCCCATTAGCAGGTATTATGGTGATAGTGCAAAGGCACACCAGCCCTGTTCCTCTTTAGAGCATGGAGTCTTTTTTTTGCTTGCAATGGCTGTATCTGCTTGTGCTATTTATACAGTCATTGTGCTGTAATGGCGCTGGCTACTGTCTCTGGCTGTAAACATACACATGACACAGCTCCACTGTTATCGGACATACGAGGTAGAGGCTGCAGAAATAATACTAAATGGAACTGAAGAATGTTTTAATGTATCCATCTTGTGCTTCTTTAGTCCATTCTGTGTGCTCTTTCGACATGCATCATGCTTAATCCCCAAAATAGAGAAATATGAATATTTTAACAAATGCCTGTGTATGTATGGCCACCTTAGGGAAGGTGGCGTTTCCGTAAATACTGTTGATTTTCTATGGGCTGCAATAGGAAAGATTTGCAATCGTGAACTATAGATTTATTCTTCCTGCATTTCTCTACCAGCGGTAGCTGCCTTTTTAAGGGTTAAATGTAGTAGGTGGCGCATCCAAGCCTTAAACTCTCTGCCAGAGATGGCTCTTTAAACAGCAGAAGAGTTTAACCTGCACACTGCCATTAGAAGATATAGGCTGATGGTAGAGTTAAGGATGATGGGGTGGGGGGAAAAAAGAACCCTTCGAAGAAATATTGTGTGTATACTAGACAACAGGTGAGCCATTATTATGCTTCATTTTACTTCCCCAATTCTATAGTGTATTGTTTAATATCCATGCGTTCGTTGTTGTAGTCCCTACACTATAGGGAATCCAAAGATTATCAACTAAGCTTTAATCACGTATTAGCGACACAAACAGCATAGACTAACGATGACCTAAAATGAACCGGGGTGAATAAATCCCTAAAATGGAAGTCTTCCGCAAATGCTCTATGTGTCTTAAAGGACAGCAGCGGCAGTTTTGCTAGTTTTGGTGCTAGCAGCCGTACTACAGCTTTAAGGGTTGCACTGTAGTAGCAAAGGAGATCACTACGAAATAAGGTTAGCGCAAATAGTTGGTCTGGATTTGAAAGCGAACGGGATGGCATACGCGAGTAAGCCGTAGAAAGACCTAAAAAATAGTTTCCTACCTATAACATATAATGCCCCCTTTTACGCCTTTGTGGCGTCTACCTAAGCTGACATCAATAAATATAGTTGATTTTTAATTATATAACACAATAAATGTTTGGTATTCCGGTTTTTATATCTGAACCATTACTAGGAAATTCGAAAGCAGAACATTTTGCACAAAGGCAAACTTCCAAAGTTTTTGCATACTTCATGTTAAAATCACCTTTGATAAAAGTAGAATTTCCACCACCTTCGATCCAAATCATTGAATACTTTAAGTTTTACACATTCAGAGGACCCCCCTCTTGGATCCCCAATGATCAGCTGACTGGAACCACTTCACAACAAAGCCAATCTCTGTCATTCATCAAGCCCAGCTACATTTCGGAGAAAGGACCGACAACCTGCCCCATGTGCTCCAAGCAAGAGTGAGCTAAATCAGTTACTTGCCCCTGGTGCAGGACACCTCATTGTTTTCAAAGAGAATACATGTGCTATAATTAAATCAAATTTATTAACTCCAAAAAATGCCAAACTGTTTTCAAAGCTTGCCACACATCTAGTTGCCATAATAGCTAAATAGCCAGTTGACCCATTTACTTTTAGGTCAAGATAAACCAAGTTTATGGTAAATTTGACACAAAACCAAACTATAGGTAGGCAATGATCAGCACATGCCAGAGTTGTTAAGCCATCTGCTTTTTCTGTTTACATCCAAAATGTGTAAGATACATGGGGCAACAAAAAAACTACTTTCTCAACCACTTGTAAGTAAGTTGCATAGGTGCATTGCTAAAAGATATGTCAACATCTCAATGGCTATGTGGAAAGAGTTAAAATAAAGTAGAGTCATCTACCCAGAGTAAAACATCAAGCAAGACTAAGACTAAAGCTGGCCGTACACTAATATTTTCTTTGTTCAACCCGCGGGCTCAACAAAGATAATATGACAGATTCCCCCATCAACGAATACGAGTGTTCATCAAGAAATCTCCCGCTGTTCTCATTGTGTTCTGACGGTGGCTGCTATGCATACGAAGAGTTTCTGTACGGCTTCTCCGATCAGCTGATCGAGGGATGCCGGCCGAAAGGGTGCCGACAGCGGCACCTACTGTGCAAATTTCGGACAGTTCTTGATGAAATTCGTATAGTGTATGGCCAGCTTTATATGGCGCATCCTTGAAAACCAAGGAAAAGAAATACCTCTCACCCCATTACAGGTCACAGTCCAGAGGACAACATTCTTATTTCACAAATAGTCTAGGTCCACTGAAATTCTATTAACATTGTAAAAAGACCCTAATGGCAGGTTGTCAGTATTGTGTAATCATAAAAATTACATGATTATTCTACATTAGTAAATTGCAGTTGCAATAATGACTTAAACATGTGCCAAAGACAATGGGTAAAGGTTCAAAGACATGGGTAAGTGGGTCAAAGGGATCAGCCAACCAGCAGCTACTCAGTGGCACTTTTACACATATAGGACACCATTCAAGTATCTCAAGGGTGAAAAAAGTTTTTATACCAGGTATAGCAGGTCATCATGTGGAGAGCAAGGAGAGGTCCAGTCCGGGGGTTTTTGCATCACCCAGATTCCTCTCTAAAGGTGCCCATACACCTTGCGATTATCATACGTTAATCTAGGGAAATCCCGCGATCGTACGATAAATCGCAAGGTGTATGGAAGGCGTGCAACCGTTTTTACTGTTTTCGCACGTCTTTTGTCGAACCAGCATGCTAGAAAACCCGCCATGAATCGTACGATTGTCGACGGGTTTCTAGCCTGCTCGTTCGACAACTGCACACGCACCACTGCCCGTTCAGCATTGCGGTCATTGTAAGCCCGCCCCTCAGCGGGGCAGGCTTTCGATGATCGCAAGTACGATCTGCCTGTCCAAGATGGGCAGATCGTACAAGCTTTTAATTAGCTTACGACCATCGCAAGACAAAAGTCTTGCGATGGTTGTAAGGTGTATGGGCACCTTAACACCTTCCGGAACCTCTAGTAAGCCCCAGGTTTTACACTTTGCCTCAGTGGCAATTTAGTGCAGGCGAAGCAAACAGACAGAGCTCTGGAGCAGACAGTCTCAATCTGCGGGAGCACAAGGTTGGTCATGGTGTTTTGCTGAAGCCTGACAAACAATAGGTTTGTACAGGTTGGTAGTCAGGACTATTGTCGGCAAGGATTTTCTTTTTGAAGTGTTTACTTTATTTGAGCACTGTACAGCACTGTATATAGCCTGCGTGTTGCACCACTAAATGTACCACTGTTTGAAGACAGGTCACTGGTCTGGTCTCTAAACCTTTCAAGAGTGCTCACCCCAGGGAGCAATTGCACCCGCTACCTATTCCCCAGCTCACACAGGGTAACAAAAGGTCAGTGATCATTTAATATGTGCTTAGGTCTGTCAAAGTTTCAGCATTGACCTGCAAGCATATGTGACAATTCTGTTATTGCTTATTCTCCTATTAGAAGCAGGAAGTGCAACTCCAGTCAAAGCATTTTTTTGTAGTTTTGGGTTGTTGGGGGAGGATTAGGCCTGGAAGAGGAAGTGAGTGGAATTTCCCCAATAGGGACTCCAAGAAAAATCTTAAAGTATTAAAACATTTATCCATATACAACAAAACAACACTTTCTGTATACCCATCCCCTATCACCACCATCTCTGCATTCACTGAAACAGGAAGCAAGAGAAACCTTCCCCAGTGGAAAACATTAGCGAGATGATACCCGATAGAGGCTTTAACACTGCTACACACTATCCAAATCTTTAAAATAAAACATGTCTAGCAATTTAAACTGTCTTTAAAAGTCAAAAGATGGTGAACTATACCTAGGTAGGGCAAAGCCCAAAGAAAACTCTGGTGGAGGACTGGAGGATAGACTTTGTCCTGAAGTGCAAATCTGTGGTCTACCCTTAGTACAGAGACGAAAGATTACTAAACCATCTTGTAGCTGATTTCTTCTGAAGTTTCCACCAGGACAACCGGCACTTTGGGCCACTCAAGTTTTAACCAATGATTGGAGGTCTAGGGACTAAAAGCGCCCTATTCCCAAAGTTTAAATTGGTAAAAAAAAAAGTCAGGCATGGGACGTAAGCAGCCATACAAGTTACAAAAGGAGCTACACAGCCCTAATGTGATTTCAGCACCCCAAGGTGCTTAGACTACATGTCCATCCTCCTACCCTAGAGGTAAACG